TTTTTACCCCTCGCTTCCATCCCTCAGCAGGTCCGACCGACTCTCCACGCCCCATGGCGTCTTTGTCTCCCTGGGGACACCAACTCTAAGCTTCCGCTTGGCTCAGCCCAGGCCCCAACTCCCGGGGACGGCACTGGGGTAGAAGATAATATAGGATGGCTTTCTGTACCGCGTCTGGTGATGGAGAGCCCCGGGGACACCTCCGCGGACACGTGTTGGACTCAGTGCTTTAAGCCAGTGACAGCTGGAAATTCCCCAACCCAGCAACGTCCCCGCCCCCCGACGCTGCCGCTGACCCTGCCCTTGGCGGCGAGCCTGCCTGTATCGTAGGCCAGGTCTGGGTGGGGGTTGGCACCTTTGTGAGCTCACGTCCCCTCTAACTACCTATCTTTGCTTATCAAATTCAGACAGCTTCAGACACGGGGAGGGAGGGAGGGAGAAAGGGAGGGGAGAGGAGACAAGAGATAGGCGGGTGCTAGCCTTAGCCCTGCTTCCCTCTCCTGAGATGGAGAAATGGATCCTCAAAAAAATAAAATATTTGCAGTCCGGGGGCCTCTCAGCTTCTCATTACAATTGCAAGGTGAGGGAAAGACAGCTGGATTTGGGATTCCCCGTCCTGCCCTTACTTGTGTTGCCAGGTACTGAATTGCTCTCTTTGTTAATTTTAGGTTGATTCTTTCAGGGAGCGTATCACAAGTGAGGTGAGTGAAAGAAACGGAAAAATGTGTTGGTTAATAGTTGGGAGTTTCCCAAGAGGAGATATCTGTAAAAAGAGACCTTCGCACAGTTATTAATTTCAGCTATGTTTTCCTTCCTCTTTAGGCAGAAGACTTGGTGGCAAATTTTTTCCCAAAGAAGTTGTTAGAACTTGATAGTTTTTTGAAGGTGAGAGACACGTTTCTTTGCTAAAATTCCCTTGGCCCTGGTCTTTCTGTCAAAAGGGACAAATTGTGTTTTGATTCTATTATTATTTTTTTTTGTCCTGTCAAGCACTTTCATTTCTTACCTTTCAAATGAAGTACTCCTTTGTTCAGCTTGAAAAGAATAATGTTGTTTTGGGGGTGGGCATCTCTCTTTAGGAACCAATCCTAAACATCCATGACCTAACTCAGATCCACTCGGACATGAATCTCCCAGTCCCTGACCCCATTCTTCTCACCAATAGCCATGATGGACTGGATGGTGTAAGTGTCCTATATTTTTTTTTGTTTTCTTAAGCAATAGGTTCTTTGTGTCCACTATTTCCTGGTAAGTTCGAATGTGTACAGAGGGGACAGTGGGATTTGGATCTGGGAACTAGTACTCAGTCTTACAGACATGATAACTCCAGTATACTCCTTTAGTACCCTGATTTTCATTTATAAGATTAGGTGAATATGCTAATGCTACTCTCAGTGTTTAGAGTGAATTTCAAATAGGACAAAACTAGCTACAGGTTCCCTCAGGTTACTTAATTTTTCCCATGTCTCTGAAGAAGACCATACCTACCCTTGTTTCACTGTCTTAATTCTTGTTATGGGTTGAGAAGTTCTTGCTAAATAACTATAGCCCCTGTCTTTGCTGTGCATCTTTAGCACCTGGTCCTTATCAGTCGTATGTCCACATTCTATTATAACACTGATGATGCTGGATTGTTCTTCATCTGCGTTACTGTCTCACGGATAGAACTT